CACCCCTGTCCCCGCACCCTCCCCTCTGCCCCCGCGGCCGCCTCTACTCCCCCGCGCCCGCCCTCCTCGCCCGCACACACTCATTCATACGTGCACCCACATACATACAGCCTCATTCATTCATACATACACGCACACACCCATTCCTACGCACACGCACACACCCATTTATACTCACACGCACATATATGCCCCATTCATCCCTCTACGTTCACACCGCATACTCGTTCACGCACACATTCTCCTCTACATTCATTTATACTCTTTCTCTCACATTCATTTTCACCCCTCTCTTACATTCACGAGCAGAGTTACGCACTTCCTATCTCGCATTCATTTACACCCTATCTCTCTCTCACAAACACACTCACTCGCACAGTTACACGTTTACTGTCTCGCATTCATTTACATCCTATCTCTCTCTCTCTCTCACGCTTTCATTTGCACCCCTCTACATTTATACTCTTTCTTTCACATTCTCTTACAACCCTCTCTTGCACCACTCGCAACCACGCTCGTCTTGCATTCAGTCATGCCCTTACTATCTCACATTCATTTACACCGTCTATTTCTTCCCTTGCATTCATTATACATACACCCTTACTCACTAATACACGCACACGCACATACATACACCCTCCTCTTTCCCACACGCATACATGCACATACATACTGTCACTGATTCATACGGCAAACGCCCACAGACATATGCACCCCAATTTATCTCGTTTACGTACGCCCTCCCTTTTTCGCATTCATTCTCACCTCTCTCGCATTCATTTTCACCCTTCCTTTCCACTCTTTCACGTCCTCTCTCGCATTCATTTTCACCCATTTTTTCCACTCATTTACACCCTGTCTCTCTCACACACTTTCATTTACACCCCTCTCTTGCAACTACGCTCATCTTGCATTCAGAGTCACACCCTTACCACCTCGCATTCATTCTCACCGTCTCTTTCTCCCTCGCAATCATTTACACCCTCTTTTTGCATTCACATACATTCGATCCCTTTCATACCTCCACTCTCTCCCCAAATTAAGTCCCCTTTCCCAATGGTTTATTATTACATCGATATTAACATTAATATGTAAAAATACTATTATGTGATAAATATTGGAATAAATAGTTCTATCCTAACATAAACTTAAATAATAATAAATAATTCTATGTAAACATACTTAAGTATATGATAATTACATTTCAATTAATTACTAACTTAAAATTTAAATGTACATTGGACTATATATTTAATAAATAAATTAATAATTCCTTAAATATTCATTACAAAAAAGTTTTAAGTGGGTTCATTGTGACTATTTTTTTTTAATTAAGCAACACTATTCCTGTTGGCATTCAATTACTTATTAAATTAAAGACAAATAACATATTATTACTTGGACTAATCTAAACATTAAGCAAAGTTAAAACAATTTTCTGAAATAAAACACTATTTTGAATTGAAAACAAAGTAAATTACGTTAATTTAATTTAAAAAAGTACTTAACAGAAGCTAAAAAGATGCAAGAAATGGGATATTCTCTTTATAAAGTACATCAGCATATATAAACAAGTAATGGACAGCCTATAAAATTAGAAAAATAAAAAAAACTAAGCATTAAAAAGTAAATTACGTTAATTTGAAACAATTTAAGCAGTAATTAGGAATTTAATAATGGTAATTAATTAGATAATTACGTTACGTAAGCTCAAATCAAATGAAAAAATATATATGACACTAAATAAAAAGGAATACCAAATTTAAATTTAAAAAACTAAAACAGTCAAATACTGGAATGAAAATTACGTTAGTATGAATTAAGCAGCTATAAA